GCTTAAGATTCTCTCTCCCTCTCCCTCTGCCCTTCCCCAGCTCAGGCTTTCTCTCTGAAAAAAAAAAAGCTATTATTAAAAAAGTAACCTGAGCAGAATGATGTAGCCACTTTGGAAAACAGTTTGGCAGTGATTTATAAAGGTAAATGTACATAAGACCCAGCAATACCATTCCTAGCTATTTATTCAAGAGATATGGCAACTTATGTTCACAAAAAAACCTGTATTCAAATCTTCATAGCAGCCTTTCACAATAATAGTCAAAAAGATAAACAACTCAAATTTCCATCAACTGATGAATTGCAAAACAGTGATGTGTGCATACAATGGAATACTACTCAGCAATTAAAAGGAAGAACCATTGATACATGCTACAATTTGAATGAATCTCAAAAATATTATGTTGAGTGAAATAAACAATACACAATACACTATATTTACACTACATTAGGAAAAGGCAAAACTATAGTGATAGAGAGCAGGTTTGTGGTTGACTGGAACCAGAGGTGTCGGAAGGGGGCTGACTGTAAAGAGGCAAGAGGGAAGTTCTGGGGGTGATGAGAATGTTCTATACTTTGTGATGGTGATCACGTGACTGTATACAATTGCCCAAACTCATTAGACTCTAAACTTGAAATGAATGAATTTCACTGTGGAAAAGTTATACTTCCGTAATGCTGGGGTTTAGAGGGGCAGGGGCAGGAGGGTGAGTAGCCTCAGTTAAGTTTCCTGAGACTGCCTACAATTGTCTGTTTTTGTTTGGCTGGTTGGTTGTTTTCAAGAGCCCCAGGGTTTTGAATGGGAGAGGGTGGTGCAGCTTGCCCTCCACACACCAAGGGTGTGCTACAAGGCAAGAGATTGGCTCAGGTTAGGCAAAAGCCCCACCAGAAGAAGATGGTGGCCAAGCCCCATGGGGGCAGGACAGGGAGTGCTTACCTGGGAGCTGAGTCTGGACAGAGGGAACCTGACATCCGTAGACTCTAGAAACCAGAAGTTTTCCCCCCATCTTCTCTCTGGGAACTGCCAATGACCTATAAGCACACACACAGAGGGGCTCCAGAACACCAAGGGGTCAAGCTGGACTCTGTTCACGTGCAGATGAGAGCTCTGTTGCT